TGCTGTCAGCTGAGCCGACGTGCTGCACATGGGGTGAGAGCTGGTGCTGCTGGTGGGGCCGGAAGTCTTGGTTGCGTGACTGGTTCATGTGCTGGCGTGCGGCTGCCCATGCTTGGGCTTGGGCCTGCGCTTGAGCAATCTGGGCCTGCGTGATGTGCTGGGTGGGTTGCATGTGTGGCTGAAACTGTTGTTGCGAAGGATGCGGCGGGGTGGGTTGGAGGGGTGCTCCGTGGTGATGTTGGGGCTGGGGGTGATGCAAGGCCTGTTGCTGGGCCTGGTGCTGCATCTGATGCATCGAGTCATCCTCCTCAATTGTTTGGGGCGTCAGGTCAATGTCGTCGTCGTCATCGTCGCCTTCCGCATCAACCTGATCGCAGTCTCCATCACCACATACGGTGGGCGGCGCGCTAAAGGGCATGTTGGACTCAACCTTGATTGGGCTGCCTTGCCTGGGCTGGTTCACGGTAGCAAACTGTGGTGGGATGCTAGCCATGGAGCAGCTTCTGGTACTGGTACCACCGGGCAATGGCTTTTGCGCGCCCATACCGGAGACCGAGGCCCTGTTCTCGCGTATAGCGGTCCGCCACTTGTCGATGAGGCGGTCGTAGTCCCAGTTGCGGTAGTCCATGCCGTGCTTGGCAAGCTCCCTAGCCGTGTCGGTACCAAGGTTGATGCTGATGGGCGATACATCGGGGGCGCCTGAGGTCCAGCGGTTGGCTTTCAGGTATTCAATCTCCCTGCGTGCATTCCCCAGCTGCACCTCGGCTTCCCGTCGCCTGTCGTCGGCACGGGCATAGCAGCGCAGTATCTCAACCTGCCAGCACTCCTGCCTCGTCTTATCTGACTGCTGTGTCCAGTGGTGGAAAGCGTCTGCAATGTGCCCAAAAAGGCGTTGTGGGTCGTGGTCGAAGAGCGGTGGGGTGGGCAAGGGCGAGGTGGTGGTGGAAGGAGCGGAGGAGTGCGAGCCCGAGGGATAGACCTGGTTGATCTGACGCTGCCGCTGGTAGGCAAGCAGACGCTCGCGGACCTGCTTATTCAGCGCTTCGAACTGCTTCTGTCCCGGCGGGGTGATGGACCATGACTCGGACGTGGGAAAGGGCGTGGGGGAGAAGAGGGTAGAGGGCGCGGGGAGGATCTGGAGGCACAGCGAGGGGAAGCTCTGGGTGTAGGGGTCGAATTCGAAGAGGCCGGAGCCGGATGCTTTTGCGCTGTTTGTGTTAGCAGGATATATGGTGAGTGAATTGGTGACATACTTGGCTACTTGCACGCTCTTCAGCAGCTCCCGCAGCGCCATCTCGGTGGCACTCGCAATCTCATTCTCCTCGTTCGACTTCTGCCTCTGGTCCAGCTCGGCCTTTCGCGACTGCCGCGATACGTCCCGGCGAGGGTCTGGTGTTTTGGTGTTGAGTCGTGAGGGCCGGTGGCCGCTTCCCCAGCTGACATCCTTGAACTGCCCCCTCGTCTTGCCCACCTCGAGCGGCTCATCGTCGTCTTCCGGGCTCTGCACGAGGACCGAATCCTCGCTCGCTATCCGCTTCTTGTTCGCGGGCGTGCTCGTGCCGCTGTCGTCTCTCCGCGGTGTTGACACGCTGCCCTTGGCCTGCCGCCGTGTGATGCCGCCTCGCAGCTTCCGTATCTCGTCGACATTGTGCACGCCATCGGGCGCCTTCGGGTTCTTGGGGCGGATGTACAGGTCCAGATGGCGTCCCAGGCTGGACGAGGTGAAGGCCTGGCCGCAAAAGGGACAGTTCTTGTCCTTGGCCGCCTTGAGCTGTGGTTCGGCGGTGGAGCGAGGCGTGGACGATTCGGTTTCGCCCATGATGGCTTGCAGATATTATTACTCAGGGTTCCCAAGCTCGAGCTTATCTCGATACGCAGAGTCGTTCATGCGTGGCTGCAGCGTGGAAGGATTATAGCTGCAGCTATGACATTACTATTACGGTCGGAAGGGGTAGTATACAAGGAAAGATGGGCATAGTGCACGCCAATGGCTAATGAGAGGAGACCAATTGGACGCTGCAGGCAAAAGGAGCGACGCGTTCGTTGGAGCAATATTATCTCGCTGCGGCTTGGCGCGAAAAGCTGCCCCTAATGCCTCTGCCGGGCACTATGATGCGCGCGCAGGAGGCGCGCAGTCAGCCGTGCGTGCAGCGGGAAGCCAGCCCGCCCGAACCAAAGGGCCGGCCTGTCAGAGTCGCCAGACATCGACCTTCACGAGACCTGGACGCGACGCACAAATTGCACCCGCGTCTATTTTCGCTCTACTTACTTTCCGCCCTGGCCAGCCTCGCCGCTGTCCGCGCCGCAATGTCCTCATACTCGTCCATGCCGCCGTCAAGCTTCCTGAGCTGCCCTCTAGTCAGCCGAAAAACGCTCCCCGGAGCTAACCCTGGCGCTTCATCCTCCGACTCGCTGCTGTCGTCAGCCTCGCCCTCGGACGCGTGAACCCCTGGCGCTAGCTTGTACGCCGACTCCCTCTGCACCACCGTTCTGCGGGGTGTTAGTAAGAACTCTATTTATTGACTGCAATAATCTCACCTCATGAAGAACCGGTCGTGTGTCACCACCAGCAGCGCTCCATCGTACTCTCGCAGCGCCATCACGAGACCCAAAATAGTATCAGCGTCCAGGTGCGTCGTCACCTCGTCGAGAATGAGCAGTTGCGGCGGCGGCCATAGCAACTTGGCAAGTGCGACCCTGACCTTCTGCCCTCCCGACAGGAGCACGAGCGGAACATCCGACACCGTCTGGCCATGGAGTCCCAGTCCACCCAGCACTGTCCGCGCATCCTTCTCCTGTGCGCCCTCGCCAATACTTTCCATCACGTGCCGGAGCGCTGTCGTCTGAGGGTTGGCAGCCGCGGCCGCAGTGAGCTCTTCGACCGACTGCTGCGAGAAGCGGCCAATCTTCACCCTTGCATGGCGCGCGACACTGCCAGATGTGGGCTTGAGACCGCCCTCTTCATCACCGCCCATTATTATGGAGACCAGCGTCGTCTTGCCCGAACCGTTCAGGCCTGCTAAACCTACCCGGTCCCTCGGATGTATGGTCAGACTGACGTCGGTCAAGATGGGCAATTTCTTTCGCCCAGGGTATGCAAATGACACCTTCTCTATACTTACCAGTGCCCCGGGAAACTTCAACTCGGGCGGCTGATGGGGGAAGGAGAGGTGCACTGGGGGATCGAAATCAGGTATCTCAATCTCCGCCCGCTGCGTCGTGTGGTAGCCTGCGAGATCGCGGTTCAGCTTGAAGCGACCACCTTTGGCACTGACCTGCAGCCCCATTCTATCATCAAGTTTTTTCTTCCGAGACGCAGCCTGTTTCAATTTCTTGTCGTCTCCCTTGTCCTTGGCGGCCTTGATGTTGCCTGCGATGGTCTTCTCAATGTGCTTCTTCTGCTTGTCCTGGGCATCCTTCATCTTAGTCATGTACCTGACCTTCTTCCATCTTTCGCGCTCGTACAGACTGAGGTTACCGCGGAAAGTCTCGAGAACCTGGTTGCGGAGGACAATGAGCTCTTCGGCTACCGCGTCTCCAAAGTCGCGATCATGGGTCGTTATGAGGACAGTCGTGGCTTTGAGATTGCGGATATAGTCTTGTAGCCAGATAATTGACGGCAAGTCTAGGAAGTTGGTGGGCTCGTCCAGAAGTAGTACGTCCGCATACTGTGTGAGAGCACAAGCTAGATCGCAGCGCGTCTTCCATCCTCCTGAGAGTTCCGACACGGGCCTGTCGATGCGATCCTCCTTGAAGCCAAGGCCTAGCAAAACCACGCGCGCTTTTGCTTCTGCCTCAGCTGCATCCATGAGCTCGAGGGAGGCTTGCACGCCAGCAAGCAAATCCGCAGCTGCTTGTGTCTCTTCGCTGAGCTTCGTGGCATCGATCTCGGTCTCTTGCAGCCGCTTCTCAGATTCTTCGAAGCGCTCTTCAAGCTTAATCAGCTCCTTCCTGGCTGCTTTGCCCCGAGCACCACTCCTCCTCTCAGCAATCCGATGACCCTCTCTCAATTGCAAACCTAATCTTTCATGCCCAATACGCCTGTACGCCTGAACCGGTGCCATGGAATCAACAGAGTTCTCGACCGCTTCACTAAGCAGCTTCGCTTCTCGCACGTAGCGCTCTCGAACCCGATCACTCCGGACAACATGCTGCAGGACAGTCTCGCTCTCCAGGCTCAACGCAGTCATCTCATCTCCCAAGTCGTCCTCTCTCGTCTGACCTAGAAGCAGAATGCGCGTACTCCATGGTATACCCGGAACCAGACCATCCGCGATGGCTTTGAGGAGTGTTGATTTTCCTGTCCCGTTTCGACCAACCATCACGTAGTGGCGTGCTTCTACCAGGTGAAGCGTCGTACGTGATAGTAGTTCCCGGTTGGCGACTGTGATGGACAGGTCTTTGACGAGTATCTACATGATTCAACTTGGTGTATGAGGGAGAGGTGAGGGCACGCCTACCTCTTTTGACGCGGGTGCATCGACAGAATCAACTGCGTACCGCGATTGCTGCGCCGTGACTGTTATGTGTCCACCGCCGTGATGCTCTTCCGCGGCTGGCGCTGCCTCTTTCGCTTTGCGTACCATTGTGAAAGTGTGGGCGTGGAATAGCGAGCTCAGCAGTGGAGTGCCTGGAATGGTATCTTCGACCGTCGATTATGGTGATCTTTTGTATCAGCAACCTTCCAGCTCATATACACGAAGAAAGACATGGCCAAGCAGGGCTAGCCCGACCCTGTGGCAGGGAATGCGCGATGCTGAGACGGATGGCGCTCGGCTCAGGATGAGTCGACGCCGTGGCTTCTGATTGGCTGGATGGGTGATGACTAATTGTGGAGGGAAGGCGCAATGAGACGACCTACGGAGATCGCCTCAAGTGATAAGCTCATTCAAGGAAAAAGCTCAACACCCTAGAGCCTACGTCGAAGTTAGTTGACCTACTTTGCATATTTTCATCTTCATGTATGCTGCACGCCTACTTACGGCTACCGACAATTTCTCCTACTGATCTCCAAACTCTTCCTTCAGCTCCAAAAAATCTGTTATATACCCCACCAGCTCCTTCAACTCCTCATCATTATCGTCTTCGTATGTCGCGTCTTCCGGCCACCTCCCTCCGGCTCGCAAGATGGCGCTTCTCGACTCTCCGGTCTCACGTACTCGCTCTTCCCAGTATGGTTGCTCAAGTTTCTCTTTCAAAAACGCGTAACGTTTCATTCGGGCCTGCTCCTCGGGAGTGGTGATGGTGTTCGAATTCCGTGATCCTCGTCGCGCCTTTTTCCTCTTCTTCTTCGACGTGGCGTTGACTTGATTTGTATACGCTGCCCACAGGATGCGTTGTTGCTCCGAAGTATGAACCTCTTCCCAACCTGGGACGCCTTCGGGAAAGTTATAACCCATGGAAAGTGCTTGGCGCTGTAGGTCCGCGATATGCTCCAGGTACTGCCGGTCTGCTTCTCGTTGCTGGATCGCTTTGAGTCGTTTCGTTCTGGCAGCTAATCGTTTCGAGTTCAGCGGTGTCTTCTTGTCACCGCTCGCATCGCTTTTAGGCGAAAGGAGAATGTCAGTGTAACCCATACTGGCCAACCAGCCATCCAATACCTCGACATCTCCTTCTAACCGCGTTACCTCCGAGTCTTCCAACGCTTCGTAGCCAGGTACGTTCAACGGGAAGGGTACCCTCCTCTCCTCAGCTTCTTTCTTGTACACCGCGAGTTTCAGCAGCCACGCCCTCTCCACTTCGGCATTTCTATGCAGACTCAACGCCTGCTTTGTCGCATCTTCCTCTTGCATATCCGAGAAATGCGGCGCGTTACCATCCGGGATCTGCACCCCATTCTGCCGAGCCATCTCCCGCCGCTCCTGCTCCCTCGCCTCCCTCAAACTATCATTCCTCCACTCCTCCTGCCTCTCCCGCACCAGTCGTCTACGTTCGTCCGGCGTTATTGCCACGTGCGTACCAGAGGGAGTTATGGTACCGGGTGGCCCGGCGCCACCTGTACAGAGATAGTCTTCATCGGGGTCTTGATTCGATTTGTAGGTGAGTAGTGTAGCTTGCTGTCTGTCGACCGGCGAGGTGTAGATGTCGGGGGATTTGTCATACGACACTATGCCTTGAGCGTGTGATTTGGGTGCCGGACCGGGTGGGTAGGGGGTTAGACATGTGGTGCAGAATGGGGATGTTGATGGGCTGTCGAAGTGGCACAGGGGACAGCGGGTTGTGGATGGCGTGGCTTGGCTTGATGGTGTTGACGTCTTCGCATTCGGTGCATCCCGCTTTCGAGACCGCAAAGCCCTCAGTTCATCATCCGAGAAAGGCGTGAAAAGCCCTCCGCGTCTCTGCTCTTCTTTCGTCGGTCGCTTCAGCATCGCAGCGTCAACCTCCCTCCCCTCAATCCCCGTCACAACTTCCACCCCCTTCCCCCGCTGCTTATCCCTGTCCACCACACTCCCCCCATCCTCCCCATCCTTAACCATCCCACCCTCCCCCTCCCCCTCCCCAGGTATCTCCACCATCTCGCACACCCCCCTCACGACCCCCGCCCTATGCACATCCCTCACATATCCCGGAATACCCCTACAAATACCTCTACATACCCTAGAAACATGTTTACATACACAAACGCCCATAGCGGTGCTTGTCTTCCCCAGGTGCGCCATGTGAGCGAGGGTACAGCGTGCGGTTGCGGGTATGATGCCGAAGCGGGCGGTTGGCGAGGTGGGGTAGAAGGAGTTGGGTATGTGGCGTTTTTGTCGTTTGGGTGGGGGTTGGGAGGGTTTGGAGTAATGGGCTGGGTGATGGTGTGGTGTGTATGGTGGAGGGGGTTGTGAAGGGTGGGGTTGGTGGTGGTGGTGGTGGTGGTGGTATGGGGGACGGTCTGGGTTGGGATGGTCGTCAACATCGGTTCTAGTTCTCTTCCGTGATATTTTCTGGGTAGGGGGAGGGTTGTAGCTTTTGAGAGACGCTGTAGAAACTTCCGTCGTCACGACATTCTGTGGTTTCCTCTGGTACAACCCAACACCCTGGTCTCTGCCAAACGCAGCGTCAACTTCCGCTATCGTCACGTTTCGTGCGCGACTCGCATCGGACATCTTTGAAGGAACATGTATCCTTGAAGTTGCGATGCTTCGCATTCGAGCGTATCTCCTCGCGTAGGGGTCGCATGGAGTGCTGCAAATGGGTTTGGCTCGTCGTTGTTGAGTCATCGTACTGGCAGTGAGAGAATGTAGGATGAGCATTTCGGTACCATGGCTCACAAATGTTGGTGATGCGTGCTCGATCGGGATAAAGGTAAGTGTGTACAAAGACTTTGTATGGTATAGCGCGAGTCATGGTAGTGGCGAGGTGGGACAAAGGGTGGTTTGGCAGGACAAAGGGAACAAAAGCATGGATAACGGAAAGATAGCATAAGCCTCGTCGACGGGAGGTACTGGCGGCAGCGAAGATTTGTGTCGCAATCCTAAGGTTTGCTGGATACACAATATTGTATCTTGCAAATTAGATAGTCTCTAATGTAATGTATACTTCTAGCTATATGAGATTTCCACCTTTGTTTGGAATGCGATAGGCGAAACATTATAGTGCAACGAATTATCGGGGTAACTACGAAAGCTTGAATATGAGCAAAATCTCGCCGAACGGAACACAATACATACTCCCTACTCCTCCCCATCCACTCAACTCCCCCTAGCCCTCAAATCCGCCTGCCTCCCCCTCATACTCTGGAAGAACCCCTGCATCAAACTCTGATCAATCCGACTAAACTCCCACCACCCCTCCTGCGCCGCATCCGTAGTCCCCACATAAACCTCCCTCGGATGCAGTCTCGCACAGGGCCAAAGTCCAAATGGACGAACAGACAGCGTTGCGAGCAGCGGATACACTTCTTCCAGAAGCAGGCTCGACAAGATCTTCATCTCGCCCTTGTATCCCGGCGATACTTGATCGATAAACTCCTGGGAAAGTAGATTGAGTGTTGTATCTACAAGACGCACATGCCCGCCATTGCTTCCCCACGACGCACCGTACGGCGGCGGCGGTCTGGTTTCCTCGGTTGGGGGGTCGACGTGCGATTTGAACGCTTGTTTGTCCACGACGAGGAAATCCTGTGTCCACATACGGCCTAGCGTGGGCAGCATGGTGAAAGTTCGCTTGAAGTGTTGTTTCGCAGCCGCGATGTCGCCTTCCGCGATACCAGCCTCTCGGCCGTCAATGAACATGATTTTGGCCTTGCTCTTGATGGCGTCGAAGCCGGAGATCCAGGTTCCAGATCGCATGACGTCTTTGGTGAAGTTCTCTTCGAAGGTAGCCCATTCTTCGGCGGTTTGCTCATAGGTGAGGCGGTAGCAAACGAAACCCCATGCGTCTGGGTTTCTCTCTAGATTCCGTGGGTTCTTTGCGTAAAAGTCCATGCGTTCGCGTAGGATGGTGATCCAGTGTTCTTGCGCGACGGGCTTGGGTGGACCGCAGAGGGCGAGGCGGGTTTCATCGCGGTTCTTCTTGCCTTCTTCGTAGTGGCCGAGCAGGTTCTCGGTGTCGCGGAAACGGGGGTGGGCTGGCTTGGTGAGTTGGCCCATTATGTCCATCTGTTCTGCTAGGGAGGGTGGGTTAGCGGCTTGGTCGGCGGCGGCTTTGTCTTCTGCTTCTAAGATGGCTAACTGGTGCTTGAAGGACTTGCTTCCCATGATTTGAGACCAGGTATTTTTGCGTTGCGCTACGGGGAGGTCGGTGAAGGCGTTGGTGGCTGTGTAGCCTTTGAAGCCGGTCATTGGGACGCCGATCGTGTACTCGAGTCTGGTGAGCATGCCTCTGAGATCTTGGACACACTCGTAGTACTTCTTGCCAGCCTCGCCGATAGCTGCTTCGTCGGTTCCAGCGGTTTTGAGTGCCTCTTGATACTGCTCGAAAGCACGAGCTTGAACTTCATCCACGCGATCAACAACCCATTGATGCGTCCGCGTCGACATGTTCGTCATCCCGTCGTTCCAGTACTCTGCCCACATGCCGGCAAGATCCAATTTCTCTTCGACGCCATTTTGCTCGCGTCGCAAATTAGCTGCCTTCTGAAACTCGACATATCGGTCGACCATCCAGTTGAAAGCGTCGCGAGTCCGAGTGTGCACCTCCTCGTGATTGAACCATTCAAATATCTTGGTGAGATCATTGATCAATTCAAAGAGGTTCCTGTAGTTGGCAGGGTCATCCATCTCGCGTTCTACCCAGCGATCTCCGCTGATTGGCACCATACCGAGCAAAAGCTTTGCTTTGAGGGGGCGTAGACGCGCGAGGAAGCCCATGTGGGGTTGTCTCCTGAGTTCTGGGAGCTCTTGTCTCTTGATCAGCGGGGAAATGCGGTCCATGCAACTGTAGCTGTTTCTGTTGAAAGGTGCAGGAGCCCATTGGCTGTATGGCGCGTTCAAAAGCCCGTATTCTTCTTGTGTCATGAGTGGGAAAGATGGGCGGCCGCCGCCGACTCGAAGACCGCCAGTACTGTAGTCACTGAAGTTCTGCAGGTTTCGCACTGATATTAGGTCCTCCTCTTGTATATGTTAGTGATTATTCATAAGATTGTTGAAGTTCTAGTACCATAGACAAGATTGAGCAGCTGTTCGTGACTCCATGATGCATGGTCACCGAACCAGTCCTTCATGTGCTTCTCCGCCGCATCAAGATCCATATTGCGAAGACTTTCTTCCATTGTATCTTTCCCTGAGGCAGTAGCGGTATGCGATGTTGATGTGAATAGTCGATAGCGGACTATGGGAAACTGTCTTTGCATTTGTAGTGTCGAAGACGGGTACGGTGTAGAACGAGCTATGCTACATCTGGGCACGCGCCAGGCTGCAATGCGCGAGGCTTGTCGGGCCAGCCTGAACGAAGCCATGAATAGCAATTTTTCAAGGCAACGAACGCTCGAGCGCGGAGCTCAGAAGACGTTCCCGGGCGGCTGCCTCAGGGTGAATGTAAGGCGTGCCGCGCCATCACCGAAAAAGGAAAGGCGGATCACCACTAGTTTCCGCGGTGCCACTAGGCAGCGATCTGGACCCAGAACACTTCCCGTCCCAAATCGCTCATTGCTTTCCCCTCGCAAGAGATGCTCTGCGGATGCACACTCCACACTTACCCATGCGACGTGTAATTGGTATCATATATGCGGATTCTGGAGTGCCCAGCACGTGGTGGAAATGTATTGTAGTATCCTTGTCTTCCAGTTCACGATGTAGCCAAGTGGCTCGCCTTCTTCGTTGCTATCCATAAGCATACAAGATAGAGAAGTCACCCGGACAGCACACTCTTATCTCAATGGTTGATTGGCGCCAGAACTCCCATGAAGCTATGCTTTTGTCTATCTCTTTTGCTCAGCATCAAGCTGTCCAGCTTCATTTGATATTGCGACTCTCCAAATGAGCTAGTGCTGCGTCACGAAGACCGCGATATCCCTGCCCATCTTGCTTTCAGGTCGCACAATGGCTTCCTCGCTTTCGTTTCCAAGGTCTGTGAGCCCCTCAATCCCATACTTCCTATTGCTGTTTGACTTATTCGACGATGTGCCAAAACGCTTCAGCTCAAATCTGCTGCTATATGATCGATCGGACTGTGCGCGAGGGGTGCCAGAAGCCTTGTCGTGACTTCCGGCGCTGCTCCAGACTCTAGGAAGGTAGGTTTTGATGAGGACTTTGAAGGTCGATGCCGAGCTGCATATGATGGCTGTAAAAATATAGAGTTAGCCTTGAGGGATTTGATCAAATATGTGAGAGGAGACATACCCGCGTAGATCTCGATGCTACACCAGTTCAACGAGTCGGCCATGTAGTACCAGATATCGGCTTCATCGGAGAGGAACAGCACGTAGTAGAAGCGCACACAGCCAGCTGCAACTGCGACCAGTCCGACACCGAGAAGAGCGCACAAAGCCATCTTTTGACCGCGCGGCATCTGCAGCTTCCAGACGATGTGCATTGGTAGGATGTAAATGGCGAAGTCTTGAACGATGCTGTAGGACGCAAGAGTCAATGAGTCTGCATGAAGTTGAGATTTTGGTTGCAATGCTTACTTCATGATGCCGTTGATGTTGAAGAACACTTGCTGTGTGTCCTGCTTCAGGCACTTCTCTGGGTGCAGAGCCTGGCCCGCAGGATCCCAAAACAGCGATGGCGGCGTGCAGACGAATAATAGCACAAAGAAAGTTACAATGGACAGGGCGGCTACCCATGCCATTAGGAAGTACACAATCCATCTCGTGGGTCGTCGAGGGTCTAGTCGGTGGTAGAAGACGAGGATGCTGAACTTGACGAGACATATCGCTACAACGTATAGGAGTCGCGTTGCGAGATTTGCCTTCAACATTGGAGTGAGGTCTTCGTTGGGAATGTCGGGTGCTGTGGAATCGTCAGCTAAAATTCGAGTAGATGATCGGTATCGACTGCTTACTGTGCTTGCCTACACCGTACCAACCGCCTGCGAATGGGCTATTTGTCAATCTCGAGCTCAATCACGCCTTCGATATGAGATTTGTAGACTTACAAACCATATTAGCGACTGACAGCGAGATGGTGAAGAACGCGCCAGAGATTATCAAATCTGATTTTGGCAGTCAGCATGATGCTTGGGAGAGTTGGTTGTAGAGGCC